TTTCACCTGTACAGACATCGCTGTGTTTTCCCAAAATTACAATTTGTATAAAAAGGTGATTATTAGAAAACAGCATTTTAGGGAAACGTGAATTTTGCGAATTGTGCCAATTAGTGATCATTGATACCCATAACAGTCGTCATAGCAACAAGTGGAATGCTATTTGTTGTTCTGTGTAGAGCTTTAGATTGGAAATGTTGCTGTTACTGGCATTTGATATTTTGTTCTTTCACTCCAGTCTTGTGGTGTTAAACAGTTGAAAATGTTTTTGATAGCCCCTGATATATGAGAATTTCGATCGGAGATTTTTAAGCAACTTGTTTAAAAAATACAAACCATTTGTGGATTCATTATTTATGCCTGGTTCCACAAGTGCGTATCGTCGAACGTTGATTGTTGTCTAAGATTTATAATTCATTTTGTCAAAGTCATAATAATTTACTGCCTTTTGTTGGATAGTGAATCAGTTTTTAATATGGCTGTTGAGGTTGTGCAGAGACACAAATAAACGGATTTATGCCGCGGTTCAAAACGTGACCCTCGGGGTCTGATTGGTCATCAAACTCACTCGACCAGCACCATCGCATCGTGATGAATGGCACGAGTTCAGCTTTTTTCAATACTCGTTTTTGCGCCACGTTCGTTCAATGTAGAAGAAATGTGGCCAATACTTAGCGAAAGCCAGTAGATCGTCACAGTTACGTCATTTGTGTCATCTTTTATCTAACTGTTACCTAGATAACACATCGGTAGTTTGTCACGACCGCGAGCAGAAGTCCTACTAGTATTTTGATACGGATTACAATAAATTGTTAATTGTTTGATAAAATAAACGAGGAAGAAAGGCACTTGGATTGTTCGCATATGGTCCAGTGTTTCGTGGTAGCATTGGAAAAATATGTTCTCCATTCATTGCTAGTTTCACTATAGATGACGCCCTTTTTTCTCTTTCGTTTTATTTCCTTTTACTGAATGCATAAAATGATAATGAAAATTTAAGGGAAAGAGGAAGCTGCAAATCAATGGGTTGTTATGAATATAAAATGAAGAAATTTAGGCGGTGTCTGTGGTGGTGGGATTCAAACACACCTCCAAGGAGATGGGTTGGTGACCCTCGCCACTTAACCACCGCCGTAACACTTCATGATTGTTTTGCAATTTACCAGTGGCAGACTAAAATTTCCGTTCTATAACTGCTGAGGTCGCGGGTAAATACTTATACCTTTACTGAAATGATCTGCTACATGCTATTAGATTTCTTTATTTGTACTTCATTCAACTTTTTCTAAGTCCACATATATGTACCTCAGAGCGCAGTCAGTTGGGAATGAATTCGTCCCGCCGGACATCGTAAATCGTCATATATCGAATGTTTTCGTTCGCGCAGAATGAATTCTTGAAGCCCGCGGGTGTGTATGACATTTTAGAGCTCAGCAGCTCATGAATGAAGTTCACCTAACAACCAAACATTATCCGATGATTAGATCATATTCCTGAACACACGCATAAAAAGCTTACCAATGCGGATTACGTTAGGTCGGAGCTTAGGCAACCCGTCCGATCGCGAACGCCTCCTAGTCAAGCCACACGCACGTTCGCAACGCGCCAGACAAGCTGAGCCCAATTGGAACAAATCAACGTTTGTCCAATCGACAATCGATACGTCATGAATGCAGTCACTGTACCGTTCTCGTATGTGTGATTTGTTCAGGAAATTTGCGTATCGAAATCTAATAAAGAAAAATACACACTGACTGTTATCTGAAGCTGTGTTCTCTCTCCGCATTATCGTTGGGGGTTAAGCAAGAGTCACTCGTGTCATTCCTACGTCTAGACCGAACACAACAGATTGTTTTTCACCTATTATTCATCATCATCATCATCATCGTCCTCCTCCTCCTCCTCCTCATCATCATCATCATCATCATCGTACAGTGAAATACAGTGAAGAGAACTTCACTGATCGCTGCCAAACTCACAATGCATGCAAAGTTAGTGGTAAAATTTGAGGTGAACAGGGGTTGGATCTATTTTGAGGAAGGGAGAAGAAGATGAGCCACTACGGTCAACACACAGAGTGCACAATCGAACTCTGCATACATACCGTTTCAAGCGTTCTGTCCTGATAAGAAATGACAACAAGAATGCCACTGCTGCCGGTTCGCTGCCATATTCTTCAATGGAGTCTTTCGGACCCCAACCTGGAAGGCGAGAGACACCTACTCTACCNGCGAATAAAGCGCGATGCGGCAGACGATGGCTGGACATGCGCAATACGTGTCCTAATCAGCGAAGCCGACTAATCTGAATTCGATGGGACAAAGAATTCTCCATCGAATCATTACCAAATACGCGACCCCCACTTCAGAGTTGCTTACAAGCTCGTTCCATCCAACCCGAGCCAAACTACGTAAAAATCTGCAGTCGAATATTTTAAGACGACGAATATCTTCCACGTGCAAATTTAGGGTCTCGCAACCATAGAGCAGAACTGGCCGCACACTAGCGCAGTATACACTACCTTTCAGTTTCAACGAAACATCGCATCTGCGCCAAATGTGTTTCAATCCTGCGTAAGCTGCTCGAGCCTTCGAAATGCGGGCGGTTACTCTGCTGATGATGCTATCGTAATTTGAAACGCAGCTACCTAAGTAGGTGAAAAATTCCACTACAGCTAATTCTTGACCATCAAGCATCAAAGCTGGGGTAGACAACTAGGTAGGGGTAGACGTGGCTAGGGCACGCTGCAAATAGACCATTCGCAGTTGCGGCTTCAGGTTGGAAGAACCCGCGTGGTGGTCAACAGGTGACGTGGAAGCTGGGCATCAATAAATGCACAGAGCGAGTAGGTAGAATCGGTGTCTCCCGTCTTCCAGGTTGGGGTCCGAAAGACTCTGCAACTGGTTGGCTGGAGACACTAAAGTATATGGCGACTGACCGACAGTAGTGGCGCTCTTGTTGTCATTTCTTAACAAGGCAGAATGCTTGAAAAAGGTATGCATGAACACTTAGATTGTGTGCTCTGTGTGTTGAACATAGAGGTTCTTTTTCTTTGCCTCCCTCCAAGTAGGCCCAATCCCTCTCCATCTTATGCTTTATCATTTGATTTGTGTACATTGTGAGCTTGGCAGCGATCAGTGAAGCTCTCCTCACTGTATCTCACTGTACGATGATGATGATGATGATGATAATGATATTTGTTTCTCCACACCGTTCTCGGCTCCGAACCATTCCAATCAAACGTTACAGAAGTAAACCTCCCTTTTATTTCATATTAAGATGGCATTTGACAAACTATTTTAATTCTAACTTGACTTTTGTTCAAAATTCGCTTCCGTTTAATGATTGGTTAGTCCAAACTTCTTTAGTGCTGTTCGATGTTTTGATTTTCGCAACTTACGGATAAGACATCTGTGGATGGTCTCATTCAGGTTTTCCAAAGAAATAGTAGATCTATTTCACTAGGCGATTTGAAGTAATATTTAGCGATGAATAAAGTTCGAAAGGAATACCGAACCTCATCAGAGATGATTCAAAAATTATTTACTGTTTGTAATTGGATTTTTTCATCCCCATCGGTAAATTGTTTATTCTGAACCTGTAGCTTTTGCAAATAAGGTAACGATAACCTTTGTGTAAACCAGCATCGATTCTTATCGAGTGCCCTCGTCTGTTTATCCAACTAAACGCTTATATTGGCTCAAGTGAGTTAAGTGAAATGTGCTCTTCTCTATGTGACTTGCAAATGATGTGTTTGTAAAAGTATAAATTTTATGAGCACTTGTTGACCTGCCAGTGGGAGAAACTCCTAAAAGTCATCATATTGAATTTGCCCCATTTAGAAAAAATGAATTGAAGAAGTGGAAGAACCAAATGGGAGTTGGATTGATTACAAACAGAAATAAGTTCATATTGTTTGTCTATGAAGAGCTCCTGCAGTGCGGATTCATCCTCATTGTTACTCGTGAACAGTGATGCATCGCGGATGCGATGCACGCTCTTCAAGCTAACATGATACATTTAAAACGTGGCAACCCCATCCAAAGCGTGGGACTCACAAGCATTGTCAGATACCTGTGCTAAACCGAACTCAGCATTATAAATACGAATACCTCGTAAATAAATTTCAGTAACTTGATTTATGTCAAGTAAACATATTCCAGTGGATGGTGTTATTATCTCATAAACTAGCGCATCTAATTCCAAAAGAATTAAATCTTTTTTTAATATATTGCTGAGTGTAGGAAATTGAAACCTCTGCGACGGAATTGAGTTATCAGACACATCTCGATAATAACCCTGAATGTTTCATGCAATGTGATTACTCTGCTCTAGACGAGACACTTCATTTTGTGTAACCCTATTTATCCTGTACTCATCTCGTCCTTTCTGAGTTCAGTACTGAACTTGTGGATGTATAAAACTGTGAGTGTTAACGTTGAGTATGTAGATCGGTTTTGTTTGGTGCGCTTTTTACAAATGCTATAATAATTGTCTTCAAAAGCCAGTCAGAGGGAATGAGATGCACACTTTTTTGTTAGTAATATTCAATTTCCGGGAGAAATGTTGGGGGTAAAGTCAGTGAGAGTAAGATCAATTTTAGTGCACCCCCAACACGTTGAAAATATCCATCTAAATGTGACGAGTTCAAGAAACAGGTTTCCAGTCGTATCGGATGCGGATTTTCCCGTCAAGTGAACAAGTTAAATACCGCACACCAATTAAGTGTGGCCATCAAGTGGAAGATAATTTTAGACAGCACCAACCACTGTCACCATCATTGTCCTGGCAGACAACTAAAAACAGCCGATGAGGGTGGAGCGGGGGGGGGGACGGTTGAAGAGTAACCTGATTTTGATTTGCTGCAAATGTGTGTTCTAAATGATAACAACATGTTCCAGCTCCGTTTCGGTTATAAATATGAAATGTTGCGAACAACGTGCCAAGATAGAAACCCGGATGACGCCATGCCCTGGGATTTATTCCGCAAGCTTTTGTTACCTTCTGTCTATCTAATGCTCTTCCTGGTCCCGACCACGCATTGCTCAGAACTAACGGATCGAATTCCTTTCACAGGTCCCTGCAAATCACGCAATCCAAATTATTGTCCTGAGCATGTGGCCAACAGCGTGTGCAACACACAACGGGATGAGTGCTTTTGTCGTTCGGGTTACGTGGCCATACGGGAAGCGGACGAGATAGTCTGTAGAACCTGTAAGCTTGCTTGTTTTTACTGCGTTTTACGGACCACTATCAAACTCGTGTTCTTGTTCGACCGTGGTTATTATTCGTTCATGGATTTATGGCATAATTTTAATACACTGCGACTGTTTTTCGCACCTGGGAAAATGATCGGCAAAGCATCATTTCAACTGAAATATCACACATAGCACAAGTGGTTTTCATCTCGGATAGTGTTACAAATAATCCATATATGAAACTAATCAACGGTAGAACAATTAGTGAGAGACAACTCATTTAACCTAATTTGTCTATTTTCGTGTAGAATCAGCTTACTCAGGGTTTTAATTCCAGGTATCAAGTCAAGTCAAGTCAAGTAAAGCTTTATGCACCCGATAGCGTGAATTTTCAGCATTTTCGACAAGCCACAGTGGGGTAAACGGTAAGCATTGAAAAAGAAGAAATATACATTTACTAAATGTAAAACAAACGGATTAGATAAAATCCGAATGTGACAGATGATTGTTCAAGTCAGTAATAATATTTGCTCGGTTGACCAAGATACGACCAAAATAAGGGATCATACTGTTTTTGTATGTGGTGGTGCGTGCACAACGAATCCGAAATTGAGAGCGGGTACTCGGATGAGACACCGATTTATTGAGACGGGAGTGCAGGCAGTGTTCTCCATTGGACAGAATATGGCTGATAAATCGGTCGCATGAATCAAATGCTTCCTCACAATAAAGTCAACCCAAACGGTCTTTGAAACGTCGCTGCAACGAGAAAGAAGTTTAAGAGATCTGGAAACGAGAATAAAGTCTTCCTCCATCAGACCAGGGAAATATACGAGGAACAGTACAATTATTGTGGAAGAATGCATGCAGTCACAAATTTAAGAATTACGTTTAAGAGAACGCTGAGCTTTTTAAGCCTAAAATTAAGTATTCCACGATTCCTAAACGTTTTGTTCCATTATGAATATGTTGGGTATCAAGTTCATTCGATCCAAGACAAAATATTTGGCTTTTATGCTAATATTTACAAAAGACAGATCCGGTTGATGGCATTATTTTATCCTGATTCAATCAATTGAACATTGCTATTATACATATGAAAGTATTGCAATGTTCGGTCTGAGTTCTTTCATCTTCAAGTGGGTCATATTTTGTCGATTTTCACCGAAAATCGATCAGATCATGTTTGTGCAAAATTCTCAGTTTTTCCAAGCACTCAGAAGCCCCAGACTAGATTCTCGCTATTCCTATCATCATCACCGACCGGTCCGGGAAGGAAGGGTTGCTATGATAGATAAATATATGTAATCAGTATGGTATTATGGTCTGGATCCCAACGGAACATGAAAGGTACGCAAAGTCGTACCTGGAACGCACTCCCTTTAGCAGTGGCATTCGAAGTCTATTTTCGGTGCAAAGCAGGTCCACTTTGGACTACAATTTAACAACAGAAGAATGCATGCTAGCCCGCATCCAGTGAGAGGGAATCCTCGGAACGTTATTTTCCTTTCGCCACAGGTACGTAAATCAGTCAACCGTCTGTCATACGTATTTGTCTGTGCACCAGTCACAGCAGGGCAGGTCCGGCCCGCTTGGCAAACCACAACAGGTTTCGTCAGAGTAGATCACAGCTTGGTCCTGAGATTAGCATTGGAAATTTGACACGATATTCACAAAACACACGATGTACTTACACATGTTGTTCTGATTCAGTGACTCCATGTCGGACATCTTTTGGTATTTGTTCTAACCAATTTTTCGTCTATGAGTAGAATTTCAGGTTTAAAAATATCTGTGATCATTGATTCTTATAAATTTGATTACCACGGGAAATTATCTGCCATTATTTTAATTATTGATAAATTAAAATGCATTCAGTTAGCATGAATCTTCAGCTATAGACAATGCCACCGTAATGATATCAAGAAAACTAATGAACTTCAAATAGACTATTTAACTCAGCTAATGTTACAGGATTCTATTGAAATGAAATCTTTCAAAGTCCTTTATCCAATGAATGTACGGATCATCGTTTTTCTTCTATGATTCTTACTGTGTTCACAGCTTGTTACCGTTAAAACACGGTGCTGTATTCACTAAGTTATGAAGATTTTCAAAAATCATAAAAACAATTGATCATGAGTCATGGTCTTGTGAGTAGTTTGCAAAAGGATGTGATTGACGGTTTCCTTCGACGGTCAAAAATTAACAAGACCTGTTGGCGTGAACTGTGTTCAGTATGGTAACTACAGGGATGCCCATCCACTGTTGGACCGTTCCATTAGCTATCCTATGTGCATGTGGGAATTCTGAAGACTCGTTCCAAGTGAGATATTTTTTGTTTCATTTCGCCTGTTCACCGCGCTTGGCAATTTGTTTGCAAATGTTTCATCACCAACCGAGTTGACATCATCAATGCTTGCTTCAAAAGCACTGTTGATCTCACCTCGGCTGGTGATGAAACGTTTGCAAACAAATTACCAATCTCGGCGAACAGGCGAAATCGAATTCAATTCACCCGAGCTACGAGAACCGATTTTCACTACTTTGTCAACATTTTGTTGTATGAATGCCAATTTACCGACACCCTGACTGTTATTCACAGTAAACATATATCCTTGTCCGGGCATCGCCTTGTGGATTTATAACAATGGTTTTGTAGTTTTAAACATCTTTTTCCATTTGATATTCGATACTCATATTTTTCAGCTTCTTTTAGAAATTAAGTGTATTTGTTTTTGTTTTCATGAGATTTAATTGCAACAAGAGCCGTAAAATGGAGTGTTTTGCCAGAGTACTAACAATGCTTTTCAAACAAACACAATTTGGCGAAACCATTGCTTTTCAGTGATTCATTCTCAAGCAGTTTACAGATTACATAGGTAACACTAGTAAGCCGATCACACGATTAAACGCACCAATCATGGTTTAAGCGTTTGTCACAGTGAATTTGCTTGCGTTCGCACTAGCAACTTGTGAATGACATACCTTAACCTGACGTGCTTTGTGTGGTGGGAATGTTTTAATAGAAATATATGATTTCAGCGAGAAATATCATCAAATTCAGAACTAATACTTAGGAAAGCGCATTTTCAAGAAATATTCCACTTTTTGAGCCTAGAATGTCTCAGAAAATTCCGTAATCATCATACGATTCATAATTTGACAGTACTCCTTACGTTATTTGAGTCGCATTTGGTTTCATAGAGATATCTAATTCCGTTATGGATTTATCGTCAAACTGACCATTTTGCTTGTTCGGTACTTGAAAGGAGGAATTTTCGTTGGTTCGTCTTATGATAACAACACAGAGATCGAATATAATCTGCAAGCCTCGCACTAACTGGATGCGAATCTGGCTAGCAATGATGCTTATATCGATATAGCACGATCGATTTTATTCCTATTGCAGCCACTTCAGACGTAGCTTATGAGTTCTACTGCGGCAACATTCGACGGCCGTAAGCGTTGATCCCGCATGATCCATGTGTATCAGCGGAGCAGGGCAAATATGACCTTTCAGGGGAGCCGGAAGAATACAGCGAGACAGACAGACGCGTATGCGTACTAGCAAGGTAATCCACCAAGTTGTCATTAAAATTAGTGTGTGTGTGTGTGTGTGTGTGTGTGACCGAGGCACGTCGTACAGTCGTTGCCCAGCGCTTCAAGTGGAGGTTGAGAATTTTATACTGCATGGTGGTAATTCAAACATTGCCAAAAAGCTTAGAAAATACATGAGCCTGGCTACTCCGATGAGGTCAGTGGGACAGCTTGTATTGATGCCTAATCACCTTGAAATAATACTGAGGCAAATGTAAATAATTCTCAAACATCTTGAAATTGAATTCGGACAACTTGAATTGCAGAAGACGGTTCCATTTTAACTCCACACAGGAGTCGGAACGCTTGGATCACGTCCACAGTGTGATTAGTGACAACAAAGTGGGACCAAACGGTATTTGTGGTTGAACTATTCATTCCACTTCTCAACCACGCAGAGTGATGCCCAGAGATTCGCTCGGACAGACGCCCGGTCGTGCAGCCAACATAGTTTGCTCCACAAGAGAAGTTGAAAAAGTAAATACGGAAGGAGGCAGCAAAATCGGGCATTTTATCCTTCAGCCGTAGAAACACTGGCTGTAAATGGGGTTTGAAGTTTCAATGTGTAGAACCTTTTACTGATGACATTTGATGGCCTTTTACGCACAATCCTTACCGATGACTCTATTTGGAAACACCTCGTGTCTTTGCTTCACAGATTCCGCCAAACACTCCATGTATCCATTTTGGTTAAGGGTATTCAGCAGAGTTCAGAACTCATCAACCAGCGTGTCTTCCGTGCAGATTCTTCCAGCTCTGTTGATCAAACAGAGTATGAGGTTCTTCTTTATAGTGAGTGGTACAAAGTTCGGCGATTGAATGCAAGCAATAATCAAACTCGTGGAACATCCTGACTTTTATCAAATTTGTTCATCCTAACGAGGGATAAAGAGAGATAAATTTCAGAGTAAATGTTCTTCAACAATAGCTATCGATATACGGGTATTATACTGAAAACTGCAGTGTATTTCCACATTCGAGTTCACATGAGTTTGATTAATACTTGTATACGGCCCATTCCACGTCACATTCCTATGCACTGACCGTGTGTCTGACCAACCCATCGCCACGACAAGTTAGCCAAAAGTTTCGATACGCCAGCTCCTTGTTTGCTTCATTTCCAATCGTAACGTTCAAATTGCGATGTGAAGCATTGAAATGATCTAGTGGATATTGAAACTGCGTTGATCAATATCCAACCACAAGTGAATTTTCTCGGACGGCTGTCGGTTTGATTGAAGCGTTTCACGTGCAACGAAAGGGCTTTATTGAACATCATGTCAATTTGTTTCATTTACAGCGCGCTAAACTATTATGTGCGTTACACGAGGAATGTCCTCAGTTGATCCTTCTGACTCAATTCGGCCAGAAGGAGCTAATACTATCGGTTTGGTGGAAGTACAAGAACTCTTCAACCTTCTTTGATAAAACCAAACAGTTAATCCAGATATATTCTGCACAAAAATATGATGTACTTGCACAAGCAATTGAACAAAAGCAATCTGAAGCATACAGGAGTCGTAATCTATCTCGTTAATCTTAGGTCATCTTCTCATTAGTATGATCACAATTTGGTTCAGAAATGATGTGACATTCGCCTAATAATGCTAATATACACCGTTAAAAACAGTTTATTCTGATAGATGCAAAAAATATTTGGATATAAATGCTCTTCTTTATGAAGTCGCACTGAAATCTTCCTTAGTTCAACTTTTTTTCAAAACGAATAGAAGTTCTGTGCACGGAGAATCATGAGATTATCAGTAAGACGGTACAAAGTCATCAGGAAAAACGGAGAATATATCATGAAAGAAAATACCTTCATTGTACAAAAGGCGTTTTTATTTCACATTTTAAAACCTAGTTGACTACTGGTCAAACCAATACATAGAACACGATGATCGTTGTTTGTTCACAGTGACACCAGCCCAAGTCAAAGGTCATTTGTAGAATGAACATAAAACCTGCATCATCAACTGAAATCTTTAGGTACGTTTAGGGAAATGGCAAATTATCCCAATGAACTAAAAAAGAAATGAATGTATGACATTCCAAATAAAGACATAAACTAAAGTTAATGCTGATTTTCAAAAAAATGGCTTTCGTTCTTCTTCATATAAGCTTCATTAGAACATAACGCCTTATGCTGATTCATGAGCGTTATCCGTTATGCTCATTTCATGGGACTGAGCAATACAGTAAATTTATCCCAACAGTGCTCTCGCCACAAACGATCATTTCCGAGAAGGTCAGTAACAGGAAAACTGTGGAGTGATGTAGCTTGGGATGCCGACGTCCATGTTGGTGTATTCTACGAGGATGAGTTGTTGTTCGTGATCGTTTCGTGGCAAGGCAAGGTAACATCATCCATGCAACTTCGAAAAAGCAAATGGAATCTCCAGCGCAGAAAACACATCAACACCAACAAAGTTCGTGGCATTCATAAATATCTAAAATTTCTGAAGGATCCGTCGGTAACATTTTTGGATTATTTTGTGAAAAGCTTCAGAACCAACACTTGAAATAATTGTGTGAATGGAAATCCTTTTTCCCATCTTCAGTACTCACAGATTTATCTTGTCGAATCGATGCCGATTGCACACATGTGGACGGAAGTATCTGTCATCCCGGAGCCGGAAAGTGCGTTTGTCCCGGCGGGACCGTCTTTGTTGCACATCTGCACGCTTGTCGTAAGTCATCCTACCACTTTTCTCCCGGCTGTATCGCACCAATAGACGTGCAAGCCCGGAAAAAAGCAAACTTTGACTGATACGGGATTATGTATTACTTATTCTCCGAGGAACATCTTTTGCAAATATTTCAGGTCATTTTGAGGTTTCGTTTGACCTGCAGGTATTTATTATAAATTGAATATAAAATGTTTCATCCATACCCAACAGGTGAAGGATCGATTTACCTTGAACAGAAGCACTTACCAACTGTTTCAACCCTTATTTGTGTTTTTAGTTATGATCACTTGTCAACTTGGGTAAGGGAGAAGTCCGACATCGCACGAGTAGAATGGAAGCGTACTATCCGTTTGTTCAACGCACAACTACATACACATGAAGTTGATCAACGCATGAGAAAAGAATACCCACCTCTGCAAGCTTATTGAGAACTGATGATCACTAGTGTATTAAAAGGACATATCAAATGAAACGGTGATACTTTAAAGAGATCCAAGAACATTCACTGATGAAAAGGATAGATCCGTACTCCAAGTGATGTGCTCACGTCAGGCAATAGGCAATGCACTATTCTTGTGCAAGTGGGCAAAGGGCAATCAGACGACTCTTATTTATGCCCATCGAGTGATGTGGTTGAATGAACAAGAACAAGCACAATTGCAAAACGGACGGAATTCTCGAATTATCACTCCGACTGTATGACTTGAATTGGCGGTTCAGAGATGCCGGAAATCGCTTTCTGTTCTGATCTGCTGAATCAGGAAATCACTCGATAGAATGATAGATCAATGCATACGAGAACAAAATTGCACGATTGAGGTGTGCGGAATGGCTGAGTTTTCCAGGGGCGATACTTACAAACATAGCTGGAGAAGATCGTATACGGTGTCTAATGCCTGTTAAACCCGAACGGACTTGTGCGTTTAGTTCATCGATAGGACCACTGCCAAGTTTTTCATCATCCACACAGAAAGTAGATAATGTAACCTGATAACGGCAGTACTCATTATGACGGTAAGGACAGTTCGGTTTTCACTTTGCCAAACCCACAGAAAATCAGTAGTTCTATCATAGCAGCACTTTCTATAAGTTGAAAACAGAAATATTTGAACTGTCATTTATAACAAAGTGGCGGTGGGGTTTTCGGATCAATGAAGTTATACTTCAAAGTTAGATCTAAAAACCAGCAAATCTCCATTGAAAACAACACGTTTTAAAAAATAGAAACTAGAAGGTCTTAAACCGGTTCGTTATTCGTACAGGTTATTTTTACCAACTTTTTTTTCTTTGAAAGGAAAACGAATTTTCACGGGTCAATCCGATATCTGTGAGATGTGCATTGCCTTGGGTGGAGTGTGTTTCGCCTTCCAGGAGACCGAGATTCAAAATAATACGTAAGTAAGGAGCTGAGATTTAGAGAGTTGATTCATGCCGTTTAGACACTAAACCCCAATGAGATAATAAGTGTACATTAGTTTTGTCGCGGAGTCATTGCACGTTCAAAACCGCTGCAAATCAAAGCCCCGTTTTGTTCAATTTGACTACCACTGCGGTTTCAGTCTTGCGGTGAAGTACAGCAATCATATTAAATTCGTCGTTGAATCTAGTATGAAGATACCTATTTCAGTTTCCCTGTACCGGAGTTAGAAATTTTTGTTTTTATTTTCTTCAATGTTTTTCGCACTCCAGAAATAGATCAACCGACTACAAAATGTGATTTATCATAAATATCCTGAACAAGGCAAACGTTAACAGAGCGCAAATCCCTCAAACGCCAGCTCATCAAGAGTCTGAGGAATGACCGCGAGAAGTGGTGGAGACGAAAGTGTAAAGAGATGGAGAAAGCTGCGGTTATTGGTAATAGTCGCGATCTTTTCTGTCCAATTAGGAATACGGGTTCTAGGAAAATAGGCGTAATTGAGGTAAATAAGGAATCCGATGGCACACTGATTCACGATCAGTAACGCCGTCTTGACCGTTGGGCTGAACACCTCGAGGCTCAGTTCAGCTCGCCCCCATCAACATCTGGACTACCACCCTCCACCTCGACTGAGAAGATACTCCCAGCTGATGCCAGTCCTACATCTGAAATGGAGGTATCTAGGGAAATAAGCTACCTCAATGGACGGTCTGTCCCCATCTGCTTTTAATGCTGGAGGCTCAGCGTCAGTCTTAACAAACCTCGTGGGCTCAGTGTGGGAGACGGAAGAGGTTTCAACGGTATGGTGTGAATCGGTAATCATACCGATCTACAAGAAAGGTGACAGGTCCTCTTGTGAAAATCATAGAGGAATTAGTTTAATCAACATTGCCTCTAAACTTCTCGCTGGCATCGTACTCCGTTGATTGTCTGCCGCACGTGAACGGTGCACGCGTGAGAACCAGGCTGGTTTTAGAGCTGATCGAGGTTGTACCGACATCTTCTTCGCCAAACTCTTGAGCACCGACATTCTTTTCGTAGACCCACCATCTCTGTCTTCCAGGATCTGAAACCGGCTTTCGACTCAGTCGAGTGCTCCAAACTCTGGCGCTACCTCGGTTGGCATTTGCTAACTTGGGACATTTGTGGCGCCGTCGCGACATCCGGCCGTCTCTTGAGGGTCGAGTGTATGCTGCAGCGGTTCGACCAGTTCTGCTATATGGAGCAGAGACGTGGCCATTAAGAAAACAGGATAAGATAGATTGTTGCTCTTTGAACAGCACTGTCTACGCAGTATTGCACGAATCTGGTGGGGCAGCCGGATGAGCAGTGCTGAGGTTAGAAGCAAATGGTCGACCTCCATAGATAGCGTTGGTTGCGGCATGTATTACGCATATCACCGGATGAGTTGCCACAGCCAGCGATGTTCGCCGAGGCAGGTAGTGAATGGAATAGAGCCAAGGGTGGGTAAACTAAGACCTGGCATGAGGATATGAAAACTCTAACCAGGAGTCAATTTCTATGCAACATTAATCCACTGAAAATCTAATTATTTTCTTTGATCATAGTTTCAACTTTTCCTGTCTTTCTCCTAATGTACATCCAAGTTGGCAGCCAAAAGACATCTACCAAAACCGGCTCAAGATAGTTCATGGTTGATGGCTGTACGAACTGGAATGAATTGTTAACTGAAAGCTGGATGGTAATGTACACTGGTCACAGCCTTATTCGGTATCGTAATCAGTGCGCAACTACTAGCTATATTGAGGATCCAGTTGTAGAACCTTGAGATGTAATGTAGACCGTTTTACTCTCTTGACAACTAATCAGATGGCATATTCGAGACTTCTTTTTTCTTTTGGGAGAGCATGCTCAATCCTTTGGCATTCCGTGCACTCACAGCCTAACGGATTCCACCATTCACATAATTGGACAATGCACAGGTCTCCATTAGAAACACATTGAAGCCAGTTTAGGAATAACTTTATCAGACGAACGATACCATCTGTGTGTGTAAAGAGTTTCTCCAAGATAATATCATCTAATTCCTCCTCTGTCAGTCCTTCCTCAGGAATCGGTTGTGAATGCAGCTCAATCTCCACGAATGAAGTCAGGGTTCACGGTCTCATGAATGACGCATATCAACGCGTGTGCCCTTTCAATTTAGGTGAGTCTCAATCACATGCCACTGGGAAACTCTTATCAAAAGCAATAAAATTCACCCTGGTGATAATTTCACTCCTTGAATCAGAGTGATATTGTCGTTTGAAGTGCGATTCTCTCGGACTATGACAACCTGGGAATGGCAGATAAGATGCTTACTTTACTGTTATTCCTATTCGTCTCGGTGTTGAAGTACATATTAATCGGTCTTTCTTTCGCTTCGATTTGTCCCATCCGTTTGTTCCAACAGCTGATATTGGTGAATCGTGCGATCTGTCAAGTCGGTTGTGTCGATCAAGAAGAGCTGTTTGTGCATGGTCAGACTCGAGAAATCAGTTACCCTCGGAAAGAACTTGTCAGTGTCTACCAAATCAGGTGCCAGTCTATCAGACGTACTTGCAATATCACGAGTGTTGTAAGTTGTACTTTGTATATATATATATACGTATATATAAGGGAAAATGATTGAATTCTGTGTCTGTGCATTAAAATGTGTCCAGAATGAGATGCGGCGATGAATATGTTTTTCTTTCACCCTTGAATCACTTAGGGATTTTTTTGCCACTATGTCAAACTTCACCATCGTCCCACTGGTTTCTAATACGGCCATTTTTCAACTGAGGTGCACGCGACTGTCATAAACATGCACATACTACATGGAACCGACCGCATCAGTAATTTTGCGGTTTGATTCGTTATACTCGGACCCGTTAAAACATCTATCGAAATTGGTGCACATTCCTCACATCGGACGACGCTCAGTGTGATGCTTTCTTGTTAATCGCATGCTCAGGGATGTAAGTTTGAAATATACTCATTCGAAACAATGCACAAATGTGTTTGATGCCATTGTTCTGAAAATCGGTGTAAAGTTGAAATTAGAACAATCCCACTGCGTCAGCGTTTATATAACTTCAGATGATCTAGCAGAATGTAATTGTAATTGCTACTATCCTCTATTTGTTGCCAAAATGTAGATGTGAATAATTTTAGCTTTTCAGATTGGATTCTTCTTTTACAAAAGAAGTGGTCAACTAACCACATCTTCAGGTCTAGTCAAGTTAAGCTTCATGTACCGAACACGGTGGATTTTCAGCACTTTAAACAAGTTTAAGTGAAGAAAACGTTTAGTGTTCAAAGAGAATTAAACATTTGATAATTGAAAAAACAATGGATGTGATAAAAAGCTAATGTGACAGTTGATTTTCCTAGTCAGTCATGATAGTTGGTCGGTTCGCTAAGATACGAGCAAAATAACGGATGATGTTGTTTCAGTATGTAATGGTACGTGCAATAAAATTTTGAACGCGTGCCCGAAAGACAGATTTATTGAGATGGGCATGCTGGCACTTTTTTTCATTCGACAGTATATGGTTGATAAATCTAACACATGAATCAAAACACTTGCACACAATAAAATCAACCAAATCGGTCTTGGAAATGGTAGTGCAACGGGAAAGAAGTTTATTAGATCTGGAAAACAGAATAAAATCTTTTTCCCTGATACCTTCAAAACAGTACAGCCAGTGTGGACGAATGCAGGCTGTCACAAATACCGTCTGAAATTAAAGAATAATATTTAGGAGCATGCCGAGCTTTTTCAGTCTAAATGCGTAGAAGAATAAACTAAGAACTCTATTGTAAATGTTTTCAACGTGCTTGGATCAATGAAAGTTGTACAATAAAGTAAATCCCAGATGTTTGACAGAGTCAGTTTATGGGATGATATTACTTTTAACAGCAAGTTCAGGTTGCTAAAAAGAGTTTGGCAATGAGTGCCTGTGGTAAAGTTAAAATGAATATCTACACATTTATCGAACACGAGCATCGAAGATCGGGGCGTAGATCAACAAAAACTTTGATTTAGACGATGTTGAAGTTAGCGAAAACTGTCAGGATTAGTCGAGGGACAACTAATCCCCACGTCATCAACATACTTGCACACGATAAAGCTGGGAGGTATGGGCAGGTTATTCATGAACAGTGAAATAAGAAATGGCAACAAAATAGTACCATGAAAAACCCCTAGTAGATGCGAATGAAGGGGGTGTTAAGTTTTGTACAGAAGCCTTCAAGAATTGATGGTCTAACTCCCGAACATCCAGGACAGAACCTTTGCGTGATCCACAGAGCTGCTTCAAGACAGATCATATATCACGGCAATTCTTGTTTTCCATAAGAGTTTCAATAAACACCTTATTAAGGTGCGATATTTCCATTTTGATTGATAATGGTAGATGTTTGACAGCACTGCGCTTTCCTATCCTGTAGGTCTTTTCTTTATCACGACGGAGCCGTTTTAGAAGAGGCGAAGAGAATCTGCCAGTTTGAATGTATAAAGTCTCAACTGGGCAACAGAGATCATAGCAAAAATGAAGTTAGCATGTTAGATGCTCACAACTGGAAGAGTTATCAGCATTGGAAAACACAGTGAAATCGATAAAAGAAACGATATATCAAAGTCTGGTAATATTTTCAGGGTACAATTTCTCTTTCTGATGATTCCAGGGCTAAATGGTGATTAGAAATATTTACTGTAAATATTGGGACGCAAAATCAGCACTGGTTTCGGCTGCTTACGGGAGCCCTCTTCTCAATGAAAAAACATTTCTGGGTTACTTACAAAGATCCCGTCAAGTTAGACTCTGAGCTGGATAGGAAATTTTACAAGATTTGTCATGCCTGAGGTTGTTAGGAAAGGGACATAGAAACGATTGAAATCGCCAGCCGTAATACATAGTGTATGGTCTACACCTGTTGCAAGTTTTAAGTGGAAAGATTCCACAGACAAACGATTTCCAGAAGGAGTCGTGTCTGGAGCAATATAAATGTTAGCAGGTTTACTATGATGAAAGCGACTGAGAAGTCGGAGGTTACATAAACAAAAATAAAATTTCTCTTAGGAGTATTGAAGCACAAAAATTGATGAGAGTTTTAACACAATTTTTCTGATGACGAAAATAACCACTTCGCCATATCTGTGAAGGAATTTCCCATTTTGATCGCCTCGGAAAATGTCCAATCCATCAAGATATTTGGATTTGTCCTCAATGTCGGAATGGATTCAACTTTCCTGGAGTAGAATTACCCCCTATATTCATGCATTTCTTCTGGTGTTCCATGCTCTTGGCATAACCGAGTTTTTCCGTTAGCGAATTCATGTTATTGAAGTAGCATTATCTCAATTGAGATAATTGACGTAACGGTCAAACTATCGACGAAACACCGCCTAAATGCGTCGCACCAGCCAACACGGCGTTTACTATGGTGTTCTTGAACATGTTTTGGCAATCGTTTGAGACGATTTCTCCCAAAATGGGAGACATTCAGAAGCAGATGTTTCAGCGCTATAAACAGCAAAAATTTCGAAAACGTGGCATTGTAGAATAGCATTTAACTTCGGAAATTCAAGGAATTGATTCAACAATGATGACCGGGCGTTCCTCCACTGCAACATTACGAAATAATATCCGACAGTAACGAAACACGGCCGAATTCAAAGAGCCCGCCACCCCTTTAATGGCGGCCTGCAGAAAAGTCGTGCGCTAGAGGTTTAACCATCGTCCGGTGACAAAGGATTTGTCAGACTGAGTTTGTTTATGCGATTCATACTCGCACTTCAAGCTAAAACTCTGTGCAAAAGAGGATATACATAGTTTCAGTTTCAGTTTCAGTTTGAACAACCATTAACCATGCACTTTCGTGCGCCGGTTTTGGTTGCTGTCTTTTGGCTGACCATTGAGATGAACAATAAGAGAAGAAAGTAAACTTGGAAGTGGAGTCGAAAAGAAAATGGAGAAGTTCAGTGGACTAAGGTTGGAAAGAAATTGAGGAGA